CCCATGTGGATCAGAAAACAGCCACAATGTAGTACAACTAAACCCTGATGAAAATAAATATTATCTTCTCACTCCATATCCCACATTAATGCAATCACTCAAAAAATTTTCACCAGAAAGCATTCGCGCTATTGCTCGAAACCCAAATATAGACTTACAATCAATAGGAATCTATTCAAAATCAGATATTCAACATCACATTAGAACACAACAATTCCAAGAATTATTAACACAAATGGACACTATACAAAGACAATCAATAGACCAAAATTTACGCAAACTTGCAGAAACCGCAGGATTTGCCGATATCTACACGCAAGACTATAGCGGATATTTTAAAGACATTAAAGATTATATATATCTAAACGGTGAAAAATACCGTCCCCAAGATATATCACCAATTAACATTTTTAGCTTTGTTACACTCAAAAATGAGATCCTCGATTTTCTAGGATGGCCCTACTACATCTTAGAAAAATTGACTATTTTATACGCAATGTTTAACTTTATTGGATTTCTTTTCTCACTTTTAAAAGGAATCTACAACACATGTGCTATACACACACAAGTAAACAGACAAGCAAGTGTAGCACGCATACTCTTTGCAGGATTTTTTGGAATCTTTTCTACATCTATAAACAAAATTCTTTTAGACGCACAAATAAAAGAATATAACACAAAAATAGCAACACGACAAAATACATACGACGAAGAACATAACAATGTAGACATAACGCCAACGGCACCACAATTACCACCCCTACCAAATAACCATCCACTATCCCTAGTCCCACGAAATTTTCGAAATTTAGCCATCACACATAATCCAAATTTTCGACTCACCACATCACAAAGTCTTATTCAACATATAATGACACACCAGTCACAAGATCAAAATACTTATGAACAAATTATTGAACAACCCCATACCACCGCTTTTCAGTCTCAAAGTAATCATTTTTTTAGCCCACGATGAGCCGCCAACTTGGATCACTACACCGATCACATTCCCACCCAACCAATCTTACCTCTCCAATCCCAATAATACCACTTTTTGCTTTTCCGCCACCCGATTTTCCATCTAGTAATGTAACATCAGGCATGAATTCCGACACTAATTCACACATCTCAGTTTTATATTCCATCTCACAACTCAATAACCCGAATATTGAAACCCCCGATGAATTTGCCGACTCAGAACCATCCCCATCCAATAATTTTCATAACTCTTCTAAATTTTCTCAACCCCCTTTTCAACCCATATTACCCAATAACCCTGACCCAATCACTCCCACACCCTCTTATGCTTCCCAAGTTACCCCAACCTACTCCTCATACCATTCTGACCAATCATCTCATTCTCCAGACACCCCCCGAATCTCCCCAGAGCTAGATAATTTTATTACCCTTCAACAACAACCCTACCACCTCCATACCCCAAAAATAAACCAAATCTCCTCCACAATAAATTCATCCAACCCCCCTACCCCTACACCCTCTTCAAATTATACTGAATCATTAGCACCATCATCCACATCAACTGAATCTTCACTCAACACTAATAGAGCTTACCGCACTTTTAAAAGAAAGTTCCCCAACCATCCTTTCCCAGCAAAACCAGGAACAGCCCGTGAATACATCAACCACCCCAAGCATACTAACACAAAAGAATTTTTAGCCATCACCTTACCCTCATTCCCACAATACACCTTAAACACCCCCCACGACACTAACGAAACACGCAACTTTGTAGATGAATACGTTTTAATGCCCACTCTCTCTTGGACCTCATATTATCATTTTACTAACCCTCTTTGCTTACCTTTATCTAACACTCACATCGATATAGAGCGAAATACGGACATGCTATATCGACTCACTACACCACTAACCGCTAGACAATTTACTTACGTTGGATATAAAAAATCACTAAAAACACACACTGCACCTAGAGCTAACGAATATACACTCGAATACTATGATCACAACATCATCAGAGCTAACCAAGATCAATTCTTAGACGACGATCGCTTCGCTAATCCACAAATTACCGAAAAATTTTTCATCAAGACACCATATATATTTACACTAAACATCTTCGACCGAAAGTTTGATCACATTATTTCAGAAGCACTAACAGACACACAAGCATACGAAAGTTTTAAAGAACGCTTCCAAATATTTTCACTAACCTTTCATTTCCTTGCACCACACGAAAGAGATTTACACTGCTCACACGATATTATGTTGCGCACTAAACAAACCCACACATATAGTTATTATCGCTTCATCCAAAATCACTTTGACCTACACACACCCTCTAGACAACCACACCATCGTTTTCAATTCATTAATTCCAAATACACTTCACCATTTTTCCTAAATTTCACATATTGTATTAAAGACACTAACCTTCATGGTATTCTTCGCAATTATGATCCCATAACCCAAATGTACATCTTCTGTCCCATCACCAAGACCTTCAACGCCGAAGAATCCCGACCCTTCCTTATCCCGCACGAGTTTGTACAACCTATAGAAATCCCAATTTTAGAATTCATCCACAACACTAAATTCAATCACAAATTATATAATCTAATCCAAAACACACCTTATGAGTTTGCAGTTGGCACTGAAGAACTAACCACTAGTAAGGCACTTCAATTGCTTTGGCCACTGCTTCAGACTAAAAATATCATCCGCATCTTAGCTAAACTACTAACAACTTCAGAACTAATTCACGACATCTTCCCCCACGGTTTTTTCCCCGACGACTAACAGGTAAGTATGAATTAAATGAATATTACTAACTAATTAAAATATTAAAAAACTCACCATACTTTATCCATGTTTTCTTTAGATTTTTAGCCTTCATCCGACAATCACCTACAAAAACCACAAAAGACAAATAAAAATCGCAAATTTCATCAAACAGATTTCAAAAATTCTATTAATCTCTTACACTTATAAATTTATAAATTTAATACCAATGCAGTAAATTCATTTCTAAAATTTTCCCCACAAGCAGTAAATCTAATTATGATGAAAATTTGTAACTTAAAATTCCCCCATAACTAGCAGTAAATTTACAAATTCTATGCAGTAAATTAATAAAATGCAAATGCAGTACTAACCTTTTGATATTCTCATTCATTCGCACAGAAATTCTATCCACACTCGCACAGCTCGCCCACGAAGAATTGTTTAAAATAATGAATTTCAGTTTCAAGTTTTCACACTCAACAACTCTAACATATAATAACATGTTTCAAACTTTCCTTTAACCCGGTTGGAAAGGAATCATATACTAAACAAAACTAACCAACGCAGCTTACTAAATACCACAAATCATAGAATAACAGCATGACTAAGAAAAGGAAACCAACGGTACCCAAACCGGATTAACCCAGTTTAAAACTGGATAATTTATTCTTTTGAAGACTATTATAAAGTCTAAGAAAGAAATAATAAAACACAAAAAAGTCGAAAGGCAAACCCATACCACGAACAATTTGCTTTTTGGAAAAAGGACATAACCAACAAGACATAAGAAAAACCACAACAAACCCAACATAAAACGTTGTCACATAACAGGACCCCTCACAAAAACCGCATGAAATCATACTCCCACTCCTGGCCTAACCCACCAGAGAAGGACGTCCTGAGCATGCTCTATAGCCGGCCTAACCCACCGCGCTACATCCACGCTTTGTGACCACACCTCTATTTTTAATAAGAGCTACTCAAGTGTGAGTAACTCTTCAAAATAACCGAACTAAAACAAAAAGCTTTTGTGAAAACAACTAACTAAAATCATAATTAAAAAATATTAAACTAATAAATGTTTTATAAAATGTAAATTACATTATGCAGTACATAGATCAGAATACAACACCAAGGACGAACATCTAAAGACAAAACGACCCCACTACACTCGAGAGAGAATGACCAACCACAATCGATATGCCACTCACAATCACAACTCAAAGGATTTAGAGTACGACTTGACTTCGCAGAAAAGGACTTCATTGAACTAGACCAATGACCACCTCGATGTTCAAGTATACGTACAGATCCGAGTAACCAGGCATCCCCTCCACGCACAATCTCCACGCTATTCCCAAACTAGATCAGACACAAAAGAAGTTCTCCACGCAGAACAGAAAAACCTGACATAGCAAACCATTCTGAAATCAGATTTGAGTTTGTTGCAAAGACTTAGTCGTTGTCACTAGAAGACACAACGTCTTATGTCTCTAACTCCAGCTTCCTGGAACTCCTTTAACAAAAAGGAAACAGAAGAAATATGATGTTCGCCAAACACCAACGTCCATCATCCATCCTTCGAATTGCAGAAGAACTATTCTAAAAAACTCTGTAAAACCCGGATGGGTGGAACCTGATCTAAACTACATTTTATGATTGGATAAATTAGATATTTTACCAATGTAAAGTATTTAATATTAACCAATCATGATCCATCTAACTAACAACCCACTTATTTGTAAGTGCTGAAGTTACTTGTAATTTCAGCACCAGAGAGATTTGAATTTAACTTAGAAATTAGTTGGACTCTCCCGAGCACTTCAGCAGCCGCAATAAACCAGTATACCCTAGATCTATTGAGCCTAGCAGAGACTAGTTAAACAACCTGAGACTAGATAGTATAAGAGTAAGATTAGGATCGGTATTAGACTAAGAAGTTGCACGAATCTATCCGGCCGAAAATAAGATAGCGTGACGAGCAGACGGTGTACCCTATCCGAAATTACTCTATGAGTTAACCAACTCGAACTTAACTCAATGCCCACTTAAACATTTTTCAAAGTTTTTAAATTTGCATTAGATAAGTGGAATCAGGAGACAACTACATAACAAATAGGAAATTCTAAGAGGGATTTTTTGCGAGCCATATGGCCGAAAGAGTTATTTTAACACTAAAATCCGAAACTTAAATTAAATAACGCTCTGCGAATTATTATGCGTTCATTGCGATGTAGGAATGACGGTGTTCACGGCGTTTCACTGGCTCTACGAGAACCGGATGCCTCATTGGCAGGGTACAATCATCTGGACGGGGATGGAGCAGTTCGGAGGGGGTGATGCAAAGGATCCAACAGGCAGTCAGCATGTGTCGCCCAACTGTAGGGCATTGTGGGCAGCACGTAAGCAAGCAAACCAAAAACAAAACAAGGATCTTTAATTTTTTTAATTATTCCCCATCCCCCCGCCACCTAGGGTACCTAATGTAATGATCTATTGTCACCCCTATAGAGAAATAATTCAATAGTTAGGTACATGTAAATTTTGTACCTGTAGTAACGAATCTACCGATCTATTTAACAATCATCCCCCTCCTATGAGACCTATTTAAGAATCTCCACACCTATAAATAAATACAGTAAATTAGCACTGAGCTTTCTATTGAGAATTCTGATTGTTCGAAAAATCGATCATTTTGATCTACTTAATGATCCCCCTCCCCTTGTTGAAAGGGGAGGAGATTGTTTAGAAGATCCGAATCTTCCCCGGGTTCAGTTAACATGAAAAATTATCGCTAATTCAGAGATATTGCAGCGATTACCATCTATGGTTCAGTCTATGATCAGGGTCACTTTAGCCATGATCAGGGCTAAATCATCGCTGAATTAGCGCCAAATTTTTAGGTATGAATCAGACATAAATCATCCATGAATCAGGGATGGATTTTCACTCCAATAACCCTGAAGACCTATGAATCAGGGAAAAAGGGGAAGTTAAAGAGACTCAAACAAAAACCATTCTCAAGTTCAAAAGCAGAGCCATATACTTATAGGGCACGTAGGCGCATAGCTTCTATAGAAATTATGTGACGGCTGTTAAATACTATGGCTCTGTTTTTTGAACTTGATGTTGTTTTTGATGCTTAAATAGTTCATAAACCTTTTATGTCTATAACTTCGTCACAACCGAATGACGTGAAAAACAACGATAATGTGTTGTTTATAGTTACCATGAATATTACTGACTATTAATCTACTTAAGGGAGACAAAACAAAATTTAATTTTCTTTATCATTTCGGCTAATAATTTTATCTGCTAGAAATTTCAATTGAAATGGCAGAAAATGTCGATGGAACTTGATTGGCTACTTAGCCAATCAAATTCATCCGCAATAATTTCAGCTGAGAGATGTAGAAATAATGAATTTGGGCCGTTTAGTGCATAAGACCCCGGATCTGTGTCAGTTTTCAATTCCTACGAGCATGTCTTAATTATCCGTTACCTTAATTATCCTATACCCATGTCTTAATTATCCGTTTAACTACTTTGACTGTTCAGAAAGAGAACAGCCTTCCAAAAGTTAATAAAAAGCGTAGTGTTATATTACGAGTCCACTAGTCAGCGCTTGAACGCGGAGAGATAGATTTCCAAGTCAAATTAACATCAAGCTTCTTATACTAACTTCAGTTTTTCATATTGCAAAAAGATAAAGTACAAACTTTGTTTTCTTCAATCGTTGTAAATTAACGGAATATTCATTGAGGAGAACAAATGCCTCTGTGGAGAAGGAAAATTGTCTCAAGCTTGAAAAGAATATGTTATAACTTTCATTAAAGTTTAGATCTAACACCGAAGTTCAGACCAACGCGCGAAATTAGATTGACCGCTTTCAATACCATTAATTGAGACGACATGCGTTGAGTCAACTCTGACGGGGCTAATTCTCATGCGCGAAGCACCGAATGCGCGAAAAAAACTTGTGAGCGAAGGACCGAAAAAAAAATTAGCCGAAAGTCAATTTTTAAAAAAAAAGCAATTGCCATTCAATCATAATGAATTAAATGAAGCAAAGTTTTGCTTTTTTCGTAACTAAACCCTTGAAATAAAAAATTTGCTCCAATTCAGCGGCGGTTAATGACAATATGAAAATTTGGCATATTTCTGCCGTTTTTATATTCGGCCAAAATCAATATTCACTCTCTGGAAATGTTTACTTTCTTTCCAAATTTTAGATTACTGAAATCTGATTGGCTGATTTTTATTTCCGCGCATACGGTTCTTCGCGTATGAGGGATTCCACCAACTTTGACCGCCAAAAAATAATTACTGCCAATAAATGGGCTTTTTGGTTTATACTTTGGGGATGTCCGGTCAATAAGACGATGGCAGCCATAAAGGCGACAACCGCATTTGGTGGGACTTAAAGACGACGCTTCACGCAATTCTCCACATTGTATTTCTGACAAATTTAAACCGCATAAATTCAAACAGCTCATTTTACAAGTAATAACGCCCATTTGTCGTCTAATTGGCCTGTCGTCTTGTTTACCCAGCACACTTTGGGTCTTACGCATAAGCAGGTGCGGATTTGGGGAAAGGGGCTGAAAAATGTAATTTTGGTCAAGTTTTTCAAAAAATGAACTGTAACAGCATTTCTGAGCGTTTTGTTGAAAACAATGCCAGCTGCGCAAAGATCTTCGTCAAAATAGAGTCATTAGTGTCATGGGAGTGCTCAGAAAATCTTTTTGGTCGACCTAACAGGCCAACATTTTCAAATTTTTTTTGCAAACCGCCCCCCCCCCCACCCTCTGCTTCAGAAAATCTTAGATCCACTCCTGCTCAGGAGCATAGTAAAATCATCAAAATAAATGTGAGCATAAATTTGGTTCGCTTAGGGAGAGATGAAAGAAAAAATAAAGAAAAATGGCCATAATTTGAAAAACTGCTCGAACCTTCAGTGCGGAAATCGTTACTTCTACCATTTTTTCAATTTTACTGCGATATTTTGCTTTATAATTTTTCTGATTATAATTACTTTAAAAAATTCCGCTTCTATACAAAATGCTACAAACTACCCGGGTGACCAAAAAATGCTTGTCCTACAATTTCCATATAAGAAAAAATGCTTATCCTGCAATTTCCTACAGTTTCATAGATTCATAAAATTGTAAGAAAACTCTAGGATAAGCATTTTTTAATATATAGAAATTGTATGATAATTTTTCATATATGGAAATTGTAAGATAAGCATTTTTTCATATATAGAAATTGTAAGATGAGCATTTTTCCATAAATAGAAATTGTACGACAAGCATTTTTTCGGTAATGGAAATTGTATGAAAAAGGTTTTTTGAAACCTCAAATGAGGCAAAATTAGCGTTTAAACTTACCCCATAAGACCTGCAATCTCTGAACAGAGAAGACAACCAACAGAAAAGTCAGAGGGTTTTAGAGGTTGGAACCTCAAACTCTTCATTATTTGTAGGCGAATCTCCTCAACTCTTGAGAGAGCAACAATTTCCTCAGCCTACTCCTAGATGAACCAAAACCATGGGGGAGGAATTGTCTCAAACGCCAAAAAACCTGTTTTCCTGATGGAAAAATTCTCCAAGCATACATACTCCAGTTTTGCCATCGCATTGTAATTATCCACAAGCTCAAGCAATGGAAATTGCATGATAACTATTGTTTTTTTTTGCTTCTAACTAATTTTTCGTTTTTGATGAGCAAGGTGCTTTAAACTGAGAAAAAGCACTCTTAATTAATTGGAATTTGTTTATAAACAAGTTTTAACAAGTTTCTGAAAAACTTGCCTTTCATGAAAAAATAGTTATCATACAATTTTCATATATGGAAATTGTATGATAACAATTTTTTTTTTCAAAAAAAAAAAATAAACGTAGTTATTTTTCCTCACCAGACTGTTTTATTTGGTTCAAATAGCCGGAGAAACTAGATTGAATCTATTTTCAATGGTTTTTTGAAATTGTATGAAAATTGTATGATTGGCATTTTGCCATACATTTGATGTAGGCAATTGTATGATAAGCATTTTTGGTGAGAGGAAATGTAAGATAAGCATTTTCGGTTTATTGAGGTCAACCCGGGTAGTACATTTCTTTACAAAAAATACTGCATGCATTGAACATCTTCTGGAAATTTGTTCCGAACGGCAGTTGCAGAAGTATAAAAGTTTGCTTGATACTTTCTGTTCTTCCTTTTACGTGTAGTAGCGATTCGACGGTTGGGCTCTTCAATAACGCAACCGCTCAAAGATAACCTGGCTTTTGGCAATCTTGCAAAACTTGGATAAAAGCATTGCGACTTTGACAACGACACTACAGCAATTCTACATTTTATCGGCAGCCAAAGTAGCTGGGTAACAACCCGAGTCATGAGAGCTCTACTGTTCAAGCAGGAAACGAAACGAGCAACTGCATACTGAGCGCAATAAAAATTAAAAACCTTCTCAGTATCCAAACCAGTTTAGAAGCTGTTACAGTAATTCCGCCATGAAATAACTGCAGAGAAATCACTGACTTGCCTTAGTTGCCAGTAACCTAGTCTAGTATCACGATTTATCTGTTCTTCTTTTTCGATATTTTTCATCGAAAAAACATGCCAAGTTACTGTTGTCAAAAATTCTCCATTTTTGAGACCAAAAATTAAATGATAATTTTGTTGATTTAACAAACAATGTTACAATTTCCGCATAGTTTTTAGTCTAAAGAAGCCGGGTTTATTGTTAGAACAACTACACGGAGAGTTTCAATGATTGACCGAAGTATATGTATAATTGGCTGTCGTCAGCATACCCGTGTTTTGACAAATTCATTTTTCTCATCATCTTAATCAATTTTCATCGGCATAGAACAAAAAACGTCCCAGTACGGTGCTTCCCAACGGGGGCGTCTTTAGGATGTTCACTCCATTCAGGTTTTTGCGAGAACGATTTGTCACCCTCACATACCACTACATCAGTTCTGTCATTGAACCAGTAGCGAAACCAGTTGAGTGGTTTGCCCATAACGCGTAATCAATTCAATTGAAAGCAAAACTGAAAACAGAGAACTTCTGTGCACAGTATCAAAAGCACTGCTGAGATCAAAACCAACAAAACGAATGTTTTTTTTTTTAAATCCATCAATGCAGCTTATTTGGTTTTGTTTTTGGGAGAGATTAGATCAGCAGAATGATTTGAGTCTAACGAACAACAACAACAGAAAGAAGTTATTAAAGCTTAAGCGCTTCATTTTTTTTCGAAAATTGTCATGAGTGAATTTAGAATGTTTTCTTTTGGCTCCAATTCATTTTACTTCAGAAATGTTTCCTTCAGCCAGGGAGATGACTTGCCAATCTTTAGAAGATCCGGAAGTTTGGCAGTTGTGAGTGAATTTTTCAAACAGATCAAAAAAATCGGTGAAAAATGTAAATGAGAGTCTCGATAGCTTTCAAGTCAATATAGACAACTGCTGTTTTTGAATTTTATCCAAAAAGCAGGTTCAGTTGATTACAATCAATTTAGGAAAAATTGCAGAAATGTGAAGGCACGACAACCGGATGTTTGAAAGGCAAAAACTTATCAATATCAATATCGAATGTTTGAATGGCAGCAACAATGGCCCTCGAGGTCTTGCTGTTAAAGAAAAACTGCAAGATTTTTTAGGTAATTTTCCTTAGAGAGACGCAAGCTTTCTCTGTTATCGCATGTTTTTTTATTTGTAAAAGAACTTGCGTTCACTGGTGGCATCTGAATTTTGCAGAAAAAGTCGTGATTTTTTATGTGGAGCTCTAAATGAAAATAATCTTTGTACTTGTACTTTGAAGATTATAAGTGTGACAAAGATAACGTTCAGCTCTTTTTGTTAATTGTCTCTGAGCCACTACTTCATAATCAACCATTTATACCCTTTATTTGCGAACAGTTTTTGCAGAACGGCAGTGGACATCCTATATTTTATACTTTCTGTGGGTGTGGGCGTTCTAGAATTATTTAACATGACTTCAATTCCATTTCAATTGCGCTGGTGCCACACAAACTTTTTCGTCTTTATGAAAAACCAAAATAACAGATGATGACGGAAATTACGCCATCTGTTCAACTCCTAGTTCGAGCACAACTTCGAAGAATTTTGCTGTTACATATTCTTTAAACCTAAGGGAAAGAATATCAAATTCAGCTAAAGTAACATTTTGGTTAAAAAAAAACGATAATGCGATAATCTTTGAAGTGTAATATGTAATTACTCGTACATAATATGGTGTGGATGTAATTTGTTTTTTTTTACTCAGTCTCATCTCTGTGACTTGTTTATTTTGGCTACAGGTTTGCAGAAAAACTCATTGCACGTAAATTAAAATTTTATTTATTTTTTCCCAAACGCGAATCACCAAATTTTGAAAAATTGGCGAATTAAGTTTGAATAAAATAGTTATGAGCTAGAGAAAGGAAAATAGAATCGGAATGGTGAGTTTTGGATAAAAATGTAACCTAACAGGAGTTAGATTGATTCAATGAACACTCGATGGGATACCGAATGATCAAGGCACAAAAATCTGGTTAAATTTTTGTTTTTTTTCTGAAGCAGATATGGTACCATTATTGCAAAATGAAGTTTCGTCATGAAAATTACTAGTTGTTTCTGAGCCAAAAAACACTGAAAATACTCCCAACCACATTTTACGCATTCAATCAATTTGCAAGAAATGAATCATTTAACAAATTTGAGGTTTTTATGTCCTGTTTCAACATTTTAAATGGCTAATTTGACCCGAAAAAATCGAAAAAAATTTCTCCGATATTTAGTCTAGTGGTGCATTATATTGTGTTTTGAGCGAAATATTTTTCCTGGTGATTTTCTCATTCAATTTAATAATCCTCAAAAATGTAAAGCAGCAATGCTATGTTGGAAGCAAAAATTGAACAAATAGTGACTTTTCCCACTCATCGTCGTGGACATACACTTCATCAAAATCTGCGTTTGCTAGTTGTGTTACCGAATTTTTTTTTGGTATTATTAAGCTCAGGGACTATTGCACCTTCTTTTTTTTAAAAAAATTGATATGTCAAGGATGTCAATCATTTCTTCGTCGAGACAAAACAAACGGTCTTGTAGCGCCAGCACCTAAAACGATTGAATTGAAGATATGGGTTTGTTTTAGGATTCTAGAACATGAATTGAAAAGCATAACAAAAACGATGACTATTTACTGCCATTTTGTGAAAATTGTTCGCAAAGAAAAAGACTATACTTGGTCAATGACTGACAAACTTTCTGTAGAGCAATCGATTTCCATTTGCCACTCCACTCGTCGTGTTAGAAATCAATGACCACGTATAGTCTTTTTCTTTGCGAACAATTTTCACAAAATGGCAGTAATTAGTCATCGTTTTCTTATGCTTTTCAATTCATGTTTTAGAAAACAAGCACAAAGAAAAAATCTTCTATGCCGCTAGTGATTCCCATCTGTTCTACCAGCAAAAAAAGAATGTGATCGAGCGGCAAGAAAGAAGCGTTACGCCCGTGCCCATCTCAAGAGTTTTATTGGAAGACTTTGCAAGCTTCTTTAAAATAAAAATTTCCGGTGTCATTGTTGCCACAACAGTTAATTGCCTCTTAAATATCACCAGGTTCTTAGGCGTACAAACTTAGTTTACTCAAATTGAACATGACCAATTGACCAAGCTGGTTGAAAACATCTCGACAGAGGCAGACTTTTTTAAATCTATTTGAAAACCTTTAGAGCTCTCTGCCATTTTTTGCAGATGATTGGTTGAAAAAATTCATTTTTCAAATAAAATCGGCAAACTTCCAAACCCGCTGAAGATGGGCCAGTCATTCCCATTGTCAAAAAATGTCTTTGGCGGGTGATTAAATGAGTAAGTCTGAAAAAATCACGAATCGCGAACGTTACCATACTCAGCAAAACTCTAGAGAAACCTATTCAACTAAAAATCTGATCAATTTTCTCATAGTAAATGTCTGCTTATTTAGTTATACCTTTAATGAAACCACTCTGATAAAGGTCACATCTGATATAGCTGCATAGATTGTTAAGTGAGAAAAAATCCTCTGCAGTTCTTTTGATACAGGGGCAAGCACTCTACTGATTTCAAAACTATTTGTACAACAGAACTGACATAGTGGTATGTGAGAGCGACAAATCGCCGAGGCGAAAAAAAGAAGGGATGTCAGCAGGCATCATACTGGAACCTCTTTGGTTCATTATTGATCTTTAGATTGTCGGCGATGTATCGAGTGAAAGAAGGGGTCATACCACAACTATGCTGACGATAGCCAATTCTATATAGCCTTTAGCCGATCATTGAGGCTCTCACTGGTGATGATTCAAAACTTTATCAGTCGGTTAAAAGACGCCTTTGGTCTTTAGGACCAGCCCTTAATCCAGAAAAAACTGATATTGCTTGTCATATCAGAAAAATCAAGATGAAATTTTTGGCCCCAGAATCTGGGAATTTTAGGTGAAAAGATTGAAATTTCAGGAAATCATGAGATACTAGACTACTAGACTATGTCACTAAGATACTAGACTATGTTACTGGCAATTACGGGCAACTCTGGGGCCATCTAAAAATTTGTAAACTGAAAACGCTGCTCATCTAGCTCGCTTTTTTGTTGTTTTAGGCTGTATTTTGGTTTCACTGCTGATCGGACTTTTAAAATTTAGCGCGCGCAAAACTTAGCTGTTCGTTTCGTTTTCTGCTTGATGTTTTCTGTTTGTATCTTATATCTCCGGCTGTAACCGAGTTACGTTGGCTGCCAATTAATTATCGAGAACTTTGCATCCTTACCACAAGCCAAGTTGTCTTTGCAACAAAACTCCGGAAGATGTTCGATGCGTGCTGTCATAAGAAGTATTAAGTGCAACCTGCAGACTCATTTTTTGATAAACAATTGTAACTCTTAGCATTTTTTTGCAATTTGTAAAAAAGTGTAATTTATTCTTATTTCTTAATTCTTTATTTCAATTTTTTAAAAATATTTCAGGTATTCTAATACAGGTGATTTTTACGAGAAACTGGCTCGTACTTGATAGAAATGAAAACTGTTAGTTGCTACCACCAACAGTTTTTCGTTCCATTTTTTTTTGAACTGGGACTGTTTAACTCAGTGTAATCCAACTACTGGATGTGGATTCTATGCTTTTCTTTAGTGCTAAGCTTTTTTAATGAAATTGATTCTATCATTGTTAACGAAGAAAAATAAGAAAAAATTTAAGGTGTGGACACAAGCAATTTCTTTTTTCAAGGTTTCCTTTTTTCAAGGAGTCTTGGAAATGATCAACAAAAGAAGTTTGATAACCTGAATTCATACTGCAGTAAACCGACACAACACAGCATAAGTATGATTTGTGCTCACATAACCTACCTTTGGGCCAAGTTTTTTTTTACATGGAGTTAGATAACCGTTCCTTCGTTCAATTACTTTTCTCGTTCAGTGGAAACTTATGATCCTGATATTTTCAATTTGGACAAAAACTAAATGCTTCATGCTTGTCAACTAGTGATTGAACTTGAACATGACAATGGAAAGCTGTTTCAGCCTAATACGTTCTCAGAAAAACCTGATAAATTTTCCATCTGATGTACCTATAACTCTTTCTATAAAAGCCTGAAGTTCCTTGTATGTTAAATACCCAAATTATTTCCAGACAATCAATTTGATCGGAAATTAAGCGCTCTTTGACAAACCACAAGCTTAGAAATTCGAAGTGCACAGTGGATTGTATTGTAATCACGGATACTCTGTTCAGTCTTTTATGCTCTATGGATCACAATTTTCCGATGAGAAATTGACGTTTTGTGCATGTCGAAATCAAAAAGTTTTTATCCAAACTGCCTTTATTATGAATTATTGCTTGTCGTTTTTTCGCTGAGAATCTATGAAAAAAAACTCTGTTTTCTGCGGTTAACCAGATTTCCAGATTTTACATGACTGATGAATTTGGAAAGAAATGAAATTTTAGAAGAGCCCAGCAACTACTTCGAAACGGATGTAGTGCTGAGGCTGAGCAGTGATGATAGCAGAGGACTGCTGGACTTTGGCATCAAATTCTCCCCCCTCAAAGTGGTGTGTGACAAGTGGAGCCTGGAAACTGCCTCCGTACAAACTTGTGACCACCCCTACTTCTCCCTCGTGTAGCAGTCAAAACGAATGACACCTGCCCGATGGCCAACTGCGAACTTTTTTATATATCCATGTTATTTATGAAGCATGTTGTAACCTTGATCAGTTCGTAAAAAGCGGTTAAAGAACAGTGTGGTTCATAGAGTGAGAATTGACGATATGAAACAACGGTTACTGTCTTTCTCGAGTCACATGAGATAGGTTTAAGTTTAAGCAATTCCGTACAGATTTAGTTCTTACTATTGTTATCAGCATCGACCATACCGGGGTGCCGTCGAAATGTAGCCATAAGGTAGATACGTCGTAAGCCAATTAGAATCAAGATAAGAAAACAAGTGTACCAATTATTTTCTTTTCTGTTCTGATTGGCTGTGTCTTCTTTATGACCTGTCTACTGTTTGCCACGTAACCGACCGTACCTTTTCGTATGACAATGAAAAAAGAGTCCGAATAAAGATACAAACAGATGTATGCTGAGCTGCAATTAGAACACAGTATTCCCACCAATGGCACAAATTTGCAAAATAATTCAGAAAAAATGATAAAATTTTATTTATTCTAAGTTTTACATCGTTTTTTTTTGCTAGTGTAGGACGGATAATATTTTTGCAATGTGTTTTCATTAAGTCTCTGTCGTGGGAAAAACTTTTTAAAACTTTTCCGCTAACGGATTTTTACCGTTTTTCACTTTCTCGGGATCGACTTGTGTGGTCGACAACAGATAATTCAAATCGCTGGTTTGTCGTCGGAAATATAGTTTTTTGGATAGGAGCAGGCCATGTTTTCAAGGGCAGAACCCAACTCGAAAGCTGTTGTTATTAAAAGGTAATAGCGAAAGATGTAGTCATTTATACAGCTTGATTTTTGGATTGAAATTGTTTTATCGGCAACAACAGTGATAAATTAATTTGCATGTTACGTTTAGTATACACAAACTTGAGAAAACGTCAAAAGGCAGCTGCATGCCTCAACTAATAAAAAATCTCACATAGAAAAAAATATCAATCGGTTTCGGAATGAAGTTTTAAGCTTGAGCTTCCTGCTGCAAACTCCGAAAACATTTTTAAATTTTTAAATTGCTCGCTTTCAGTTCTAAGGAGAAAAGTTGCATTTTCAAATACGAATTTTTCACGGTTTGCGCTGCAATGTCAACTTTTGTATTTTTGCAAAGTAGAAAACATTGAACAAACAATTTTTTCCTTTAATTCAAGTCTCTTTTGCTTAGTGCAAACTTGCTAATTGATCTTTGATCAAATAAAAACTGGGGGCATTCAAAAACAAAAAACTCAAATAATTTCTCAGTGGGACGGCACTGAGAATGACGTCTTTGAGCAATAAAAGCATCAATTACCTCAAATGATTCAAATAAATAAAAAGGAAAATCAGTTTCGGAATAGGGTTTAAAGCTTAAGCTTTTTGCAGCAGGAAAATGGGAACATTAACAAATTTTAAACTTTCAAATTATTTTCCAAGTTTTGAAGGAAGCAAACAAAACGAAACGTCATGATCTGAATACAAAATCTTCACTCCTTTTCAGTTCTGAGGAGAAACGTGGTGACGCAAACAGTTACAATTTACAAACAGGGTTTGTCAAAATTTGATCTCCAGTGTCAATTTTTGCATTTTTGGCGCCTTCTTGCCACAGTCGATGATCGCATATAATAGACAAAATGCATCTATTAGTTTTGTCAGTATCCTGGAGTACTAATCATAATTTAATACAGTTTCTTCTATTCGATTTTTCTTCTCTTAGTACAAACTTTTTAAATGATTTTCTCGAATAAATACTGGGTGCGATCAAAAACATAGGACTTTAGCAATTTATTAGTGTGAAACCACTGAGTGGGACCCCTATGACTACTAGCAACATCAATTACCCATATGCTTGAAAAAACGTAAAATCAGTTTCGGAATTAGGTTTTATGCTAGAGCTTTTTTCTGCAAAATCAGAAAAAAACTGTGAATGTTTTCCAATGCTTAATTTTTTGCAATCTCTTCGAAGTTGTGAAAGAAGCAAACAAAATGAAAAATCATGATGTGGACATAACATCTTCACTCGCTTTCAGTTCTAAGAAGAAAAGAGGCTATGCAGTTAGTAGCTTTATATAATGAAGCAAAATTTGCACTCCATTATCAATTTTTGGGTTTTTTACTCCTTCATATTGCAGTTTATGGTCGCATAAACTATCGAAACTGCAGCTAAAAATTTAATCATAAACACATCAAGTTCCTTTTATCTAATTTTTTTGTCTTCTTTGATAAAAAACTTGGCGTAATCAAAAACAATTTGACCTAAATGTTCTTTCAAACATAAATTCTATTCAAAAACTTAACTTGCATTTTACCACTCTTGTAGCTAACTTGATGGCAATTCACGGACCATTTTGTAGTTGATTTAGTTTTTCTTGCAGACAGGAAAAAAAGCAACTCAGTCCAAAGAAAAAGGAATTTTTCTCAAAAAATCACAAGTAAAAAACCTTAAAATGTTGTCTGGAATGGTATTCTATTTGCGAAAGCACGTCCAGAGACACATTCGACGGCTATTAAAAAATTCAAAAATAATTTTCAATCAGAAAAAAATTATTGTCAGGAAAAAAAATGTAATTTAATTTCTATTCTGAGATGTTTAACGATTTGTGCGATCCAGAGGAAAGCGTACAAAATATGGTTCACTCGAACGGCCCAAAATTAGGTTGGAACGCAGATAAAATACAAGCCATAATCATTTAGGCCGAAAAATTTTTAAAGCAAAAAGGAAGTCAAGCGTAGCAGAATTACAAATTGCAGGAGTAATTGAATACATAAAAAGCAACTACAATGAAAACTGCATAAATCAAAAAAATTCTACGATGTTGTAACTAAGCCGACAAAACATAAGCAGACAAATAATAAGCCAACAATATTTTTTTGAAATGGAAAATATCCCGTTTAAAAAAACAAATCCTGGTCAGATTCGAATATAGGACTTTGCTGTCCCGGGCGTGTTCGTTACCTTCAAACTAAGTGTGCCGGAGACTCTTGGAAAAATGAGTTCATTGTGAACCAAGTTACCAAGTGATTCAAGTGATTTTCTTAAACCAGTTGTTAACCCGAAAAAAAGTCGCAAGCGTCGGGGTTTGATTGAAAATAAAAACAAGTTTATTTAGTCCATGAAAATGCACGTGTTCAATTCCAATCATCTATAAATAATGAACCTTCATTAAGTTTTAAAAGTCACTGAATAACAACTTTCACCTCTTTTCCTTGTTTTTTTTTCACAATTATTTGACCAAATTTAATATTTTCTAGATCATTTCCTGTATTAGAGACGATAAGTTCTTATCACTATATAAGAAATCATTTTTTTTTGCTTCAGTCAATTAGAAAACATAAAGAAACAAATAAAGACTTTTTTCTTAGTTTTTTTCAAGGATGATTAGTCTTTTGGAGTTATCTACAACAACCAGCCAAATAGTCGGCCAAACTTGCTTAGCGTCTGATATGCTGGATCATTTTCATGTGACGGAACACACGATGTTGCGCGTACATTCACAATTTCTTACACAGAAACAAATTTCATTGCAAAACTTCTATAGTTTTCTGACTGGTTAAAAGATGAAAATTTCGAAAGGTTCAGTTGTCAACGTATGGAAAATTTTGGAAATAAATATGATGTGGTGTGACGCTTCTCTCATGGTAATGAGCTATATACTTCGTAAATTTTTATGGGTCAGCAAGGTTGAGTGACAAATAAAAATAAGCAATGGATTTCAGTTATCATTAAATTTCAAGGATAAGCATAGATGTTTCTTGAAAAACAGTTTCTAGAATTCCAGGGTACATATGGCCTGTTTGCTGTAGTTCGGATCACACGTAGCCAGATAGTTATTCACCTGGTTGCGACCAGTCATGCTACTTCCCATCTTCGCCCCCACCGAGTTTGCGATGACCTGCCTTACAGCGCACACACTACCCCACCCCTCATCGCTAGGTTCCCCATCCCCCCACATTTCATTTTCCTCTTCCAGAGTAAATTTCCAGTCCTCGGAGACGAAAACTTTTGTCCTCCAGCTGTTTCAAACTCGTGAACCCTTCTGAAAATCCATCGCTTGAAGCACTCTTTCCATATGAAATTGCAAACTCAAGTTCGCCTTGGGTTTCAGGGTAGAAAATGCGCATCTCTTGTTCTCCGCATTGTGCGACCTGCTCATTGTAGTTGCCAGAAGAGACTAATCGGTAGCATTTTTGGTGGCCGTATTTGAAAATTACGCTGTAGTTTTGAGCACAAATTTCGACCGGTTCTTAAAAAATAGGTTAGGTGTTAACAGTAGCGTATTTACGGGGGGAGGGAGAGGAGGGACGGGGGGGGGGGGGCGACCTTCCTCAGGGATTTGACACCCTGCCGACCCAAAGATACTTTTTGTTTAATTTTTATCCTTTGTACTATTTTTGGATATCCATTTTTGGCTGAGTGACCCTACAATTTTTCTATAAGCGCCTTTGGCGCCAATATATACTAATTTTGAGGGGGTAGCGCGCCCCAAAAATTGCAATTATTGATCCAAATTTTCCAAAAAGTGCCCTCCGGGAAAGGTTGGAAAATCAATTTGATTGACCTAAAAAAGAGGTCAACAAAATTTTTGAAACGTTTTGAAAATCTGAACTCCCCCCTCGAGAAAATCTAAGATCTACTCATGGGTGTGAATGTCAAAAAATATATCTTCCTCTGTCTAAAAATTATTATTTTTTAATGAATGCAGCAACTGTCAAACATGAATTTGTTCCCAACTTTGTAGTTGTATTTTATTTATGTATTTTCTCTGTAAATGAAAAATTTTTGGCTTAAGATAAACTCAACCAACCTCGAAACTGATTGCAACGATCCATGTAGTCTGAAATAAAAACGGCCAAATTGTGTAAAGTACCAAATGGGTTTTGTTCACGAAATAGTACATTTCTGTTAACATTTCACTTACTTTGTCTCACACGCACCTGGTCTTGTTTTAGAATGGCATTGGCGGCCACAGCACTGAAAAATAACGAAACCCAATAATTTTTGAATAAAAAATCATAACAAGGTAATTTTGGGCTCAATATGATTCAAGAATTGAAATAT